AGGACCTGCCGGACCAGCCCGTGGAGCCCCTCACTGATCAGGAGGAGCCAACGGTGTCCCAGGACAGGGACTTGGCCAAGGACATTCTCTTGTCCGGCAAAGACGTTTGGGCTGCCACAGTCTCCGGGCGCACGGTTCTCTTCGAGTTCGTTAAGAACGCGATTTGGGGAGCGAAGCAGCCCGACATCGTGGCCAAGCTGATCAACCCTCAGGACGTCGACATCGTTGCCGCCTGGAGTCGGGATCGTGCCCTTCCCAGAATAATTTTTCAGGAGAAGCCGGGAGAGATCTACGTGAGCGCTGGGTTCTTGCAGCCGCGGAGCCCGAGCAGGTGGAGGATGCCCCGGCCCAGCCCGTCACCGTGGCCGATGTGGAAAGGCGAAGCTCTCCTTTGGCAAGGCTGCTGCGGCGGGCGAAGGACGACAAGCCGGCTGAGGCCAAGCCAGCTGCACCGGCTGATGATGCCAAGCCGGCTGTGGATGAGCTGGCCCAGGACAAGCCGGCTGAGGATGCCAAGCCGGCTGCGGAGGCCTCGTCCTCGGCCAAGCCGCCTGTGGATGAGCTGCCCCAGGACAAGCCGGATGAGGCCGAGCCAGCTGCCTCGCCCAGCCTTCTGCATCCGACGAGGCCGCGGTGCCCGAGACCCAGGAGGAGTCCCAGACCGACGTCGAGATCGTGGAGGGTCTCAGCGTGCGCAGGGTCGAGGGTGACTGGCTCGAGCTGGCGGCCAGGACCTTGGATGAGTACGCGGAGGCCCTTAAGATCCTGACCCCCAAGCTGGCGGACGGGACCTTCGCCGAGCACAAGCTGAGGTGAAGTGGGCCTCCGAGCTCTTCGAGATCAACCGTGGCATCGGCAAGCTCTGGCAGTGCAAGGGGCGAAGGTCCCAGCAGGCCAGGGTGAGAGTCCGCTTGAGTGCCTAGTTCTAGTTTTGTTGGGGCCGTTGTACAGCAAAGGATCCGCACAGAAAATGGTTGCGCCCGCTCGGCGTTCTGCCATTACATCCTGTCGGCCAACTCACCGGTGCATCTTCGCCACCAAAAAAGCAGTCCGAGCTCCGAGCCGCATGCCTGTCAGCTTTTTGCAGTTCTGAAGCTCGGCTGTGCAGTTCGAAGCTTTTGTGCTGAAGCTCGGCTGTGCATTTTGAAGCTTTTGTGGTTCAAGTGCCGGGTGGGCGGGGGGCGGGCGCTGCCTCCTGGAGGTCGGCAGCCTTCTGGAAGCCAGGCGGGACCTGGGAGAGCGCTGCCTTTCTTTGTTTTGTGCTTCTCCCGCCAAGGTCTGGTGCCGCAGCCTTGCTGAGCAGCTCCTTGCTGAGGTGGGACCTCGGAGAGTGCAGCCTTGGCCTTGGAGCCTCACCCGTCCGCGCAGGATGAACGCCGAGACCGTGGACGTCATCGTGTCCTTCCTCGCTCCCGGCGAAGATGTCTTGCGTGTCGACCCTCGGACAGTCGACGTCGAGGAGGACATTATCCTCTACATGGAGCCAGAGGCTTTTTTCTATGATGGCCGTGAGGAGCCCCGGCGAATGTCCGAGAATGGAGGAGGTGTGGGTTGGCTGCGCCCGCAGGCTCGAGGCGCTCGTGGCGACCAATCGGGAGTTCATGGTCCCCTGTTCGATGTACCTGAAGGTCATGAGGTGGCTCGCAGAGGACATGTTGCTCTCCATGATCAGGCAAATGAAAGAAAGATGGTGCGATCCATTTCCTCTCGTGCTTTCTGAGAATGAGTTTAGGTCTGGGGTCGTGCACTTTGGGCGGCAGAACACCGAAAGGAGGCTCCGGGAGATCCTGAGCGAGATCGACGCGGGCTTGGAGTCAGGAGAAATGGACGAGTGGGATGTCTACGAGCTCCTGGGGACAGATGAGGCTGAGGACGATTCCTATTTTTGAGCGGCCGGGCACCAGTCCCAGCAGGCTCGGTACAGTCGCCTGCTCCGGNNCCAAGAGCAAAACGATGTCTGAGCTGTTTGATTTCATTGACCAGTGAGCTGCTCAGGGCTGCTTGATTTTTTTGTTGACCAGACCGCAGCCACTTGCAGCTGGGCTGGGGCGCGGGAGGGTCGTGCAGCCTTGCTGAAGCAAGCCAGGCGGGACCTCGGAGAGTGC